AATGAAATTTCTTTGAATTATCTTTCCAACGCCACCGAGTTTGCTAATTTTTGAGCTTGTATGAATGAGATATTCCCTTTTGAAGTCAGCCAGTCGATTTAAGGAAAGTTACCCAAAAATATGAGGGGTATTTTGGTCGTTTCCTTACCCAATCAGATTTAATTCATTTTTAGTAAGGTTTTAGGGGTCTAATCTGATTAGGTTCAGTTTTATAATCCTAATTTAAGCCTAGGGTTTTAGTTCAATATATATAATGCATTAGTGTACGTACTTCAGGAAACTAGCAAATCTCGACATTAGGATAAAAAGAATACAACATAGAAAAAGTTGTATTTACCATGTCAAATGCCCTATTTTCACACTGTCTCCTTTCAGCTAGCCATCTATACAACTTCTTCTGGTATTTACAATTATGTTTGTAGGGATCACTAGTTGGTTCTTCTGCAGGATCTGTACTAACCTTTTCTGGTTTATAAATGGTGTAACAGTTAGCTTCACCTTTAGAAGGTTCAATTCAGAAGCTAACATTACGAAAGACTGATCTTTTCTTCTTCTCATCAATCATTTTTTCGGATGCTCTCAAAGAAATTAAAACAAAAAGTAAAGAAGACTCAAGAATAATAGTTGAGTAGTAATGTGGTTTTAATCTAGTTTCTGTATTTGCGTAAAATAACTTTGGGGCATCTATAATTAATTTTACAAGAAAATTAGTGAAAAATAAATTTGACCATCAAAATAATAAATTCAAATCATCATTGAATCAAAGGAGTCATATAGCATACGTGTGAGAAGAATCAAATATATTCCTACATGGATATTTTTTAATTAATTTTTTTTTGAAAATTAATCTAAATTTTTTTATTTTTCACTTTTGTTAGAGGAAAATGGCATATGTGAGCATTTGTATAATAGTATGGGTATATATAAGCCACTTTAATGATGAGGAGTATATCAACTCTAAATGACAAAGTTGAGGCTATATCAGACCTTTTTTTCTCTTAAAAAATGCAATACGATACAATATATTTCTTTATGAAACAATAGTAACAACCATCCGAACAAACATAATAACTCTAATGTAGCAAAAATATACCAATTAAGATCTTGTTTCCAGAAAACCCAAATCTTACTGATAGAACAAAACTCAAAGTGATTTCTTTCAAGAAATCATCAAACACTTAGGGCACAAATAGTTTCAACTAACAAAACAAAATTATATTCTCCGCTGCCTCTCCCTCCTTCGTTGCTGCTACCGTTTGCACCATTACTAGCTCTGTCGTCATTTCCAACTAGACCTCTCACAATTTGTTGAACCTTGTGATGCCAACACCAATTTAGGTTGTTCAAAAAATATTCTTGCTTGTATTTTTCCTTTGGTGTGAATTTTCTTAATTGGCCCTTTGTTCCGGGCTTTCCCTCCAAGATTGAAGATTCAATTTTTTATTTTTGGGAGGATTCTTCTTTTGACATTCGAATATCCTTTCATTTAAAAACTAAAGTTGCAAAAATACATAAAATACAAAAAAAAAAAACTTGTCTAATAGCTAGTGTAACATAAACTTACTTTGTTTTTGTGTTTGAAATCCCTTTTCATGAGGTTGTTCCTTGCTTCACCGAGAAACTTTTTGGCCTCCCTGATGGAATATTCTCCTTTTCTTTTATTGGAGAATTTCTCAACAACCCCAACCTTTGGTTTAATAAGGACAATTTAGTGTGTGT